TCAACGGCAGATTGTATCCCTGGAATGCGAAGTATCATACCCGCCTGGTGCATTTTCCCATTACGGTAGTTACGCTAAGTTATTGATTTCTTCTTATATTTCTTATCTTTATGAATCATACCATCTCCCCCTTCTTGTCTCACCCTTTTTGCCTTCTCTTGCTCGATTTCTTTGGCTGTGATACCACGGTAACACGCTACCGAACAAACCAGCGTTAGGTTGTAGCATCTGTTGGCCGGGACGGATCGGCGTCGGCTTGCCATATGGGGCCGGCCGGCTCCGACCAGCAGCGGAGACTCCGGCGTAGTAAAACCGGCTTGCTTCGCCACTCTGGTTGAAGAGTCCTTAATGAATCTACCAGATGCTGAGCGAGAAACTGCTCTTATCTGAGGTTGTGCAGTTTGGACGATTTGAATGAGACAGACAGAGGAAGATGCTGTGAGGTTCTGTCGCCGAAGGAGGCGATGGATGCTGTCATTGAGTGCCGAATCAGGCAGGGGCCCAGATTGGCGGTCAAGGGGATGAGATCATAGAGTCCATCACGCTGCCATTGATATAAGCAGGTGCATTGAGACTTTGATCGGACGGGGGATAAGTTGAGTGTAGATAAATGCATCAATCTGTTAATCTGATCTTCAAATGCAACTCCTTGACTTCTTCCACGTCCGGATTCCTGAACCCCGGAAATTCCCCAGCCCAACGCCAATGCTCCTCCATCACAATCATCAAGAAACGACCATCCAGCGAACCCAGAGGTATCGACCCGGACAAAGCACACATTTCTCTTTGTGTCAGAGGCTTAAACAACTTCGGCTAGAACCGCTCCGACCGACATCGTTGGCGCAATGGAGTCGGAACTGCCTCACAAGGAGCAGCTCGTTGCCGAGTCGACAGAGGGCTACCCCATCACCCAGGCCAAGGCCTCGTCCATCGCCCAAGCTGAACACGACATGACCGGTCGCGAACCAATTAAGGGGGGACCTGCCGCCATAGCCCAGAGCCTGCACGACCGCCAGCAGAACTTTTACGAGGTGGCTGGCGAGATCGCCCGGAAGCCCAGCGAGGAGGTGACCAAGGAAGATGCCGCAAAGGTTCAGCATTTCGAGGTATGATGTCCACTTCTCCAGCTCACGGCACTGTTTCCTGACCGTGTTGCAGCTAACATGTGCTCAGGCTCGGGCACTTGGACATGAGCCAGGAAAGGCCTCGTTCTCGGCCGAGGTGCAGGCCATTGCCGACCATAATGCCCAGATGCGACATGTTGATGATTGAGACTGGACGATGAACAACGCACTGTAGTGTACTGTGGTAATGCAATAATGGCAAGCGACACAGGAGGTGGCGGCGGAAAGATTTTTGGTGGAGGCGATTTCCTTGGCCTACAATCTCCGCGAGTCGGCGCTCCTTGGCGCGGAGACAATGTTTTTCTCGGTCGTTGATGGAAGGGAAGACTAAGCAGTACAGTTAACGGACCGCATGGTGGGCTTTAGCATTTGGCTCACGGAACCTAGGGCTGCTCGGGCAGGTTGTGTATCCCGTAAAGGTTGAGAAGTTCAATGCTGAGACCAGAGCAACTTCATTGGCGTGTACCCAAAGCCTTATTACTGTTAGGATTACGCACACAACGTCTCCCAAGCATCGAAGTCGCTGTTCCAATCCATTTTGGGGTAAAAATCGCGGACTCCGAAAAGAAGGTCTAAACGTATATTTCCTTGGCGGTGGGGACGTTCAGTTGCTCTTTCGCGACGCGAGTGCGGCTACTTCCGAGTCCTACTGTGTACACGTAGATATCAAAGACAACTTCCTCTCGACCGGCGCTTTGCCTCCATCACATCACACGATAACCGTTGCTGGAGTCATCAGTAATAGGCATGGACCCGACGTGTGATCTCTCATGGGCTTGACGGGTGTCAAGGGCCGAGTCGATCCCTAAGCCAAGCCGAGCCGTATGATGCAGATCTCTGCATCTGAACATAACGATTGGCGACTTTGGGTACCTGAAGATACATCTCCAACTTGTCGGCTCGGTTGTTTGAGGTGCTCCTTCGCCCTCTTGCTACGGTATATATTGCTGCCGGTGTGCAGATTCTGATCGAGAACTCATGCGTTTTGAGAAGCGAGATATCCACGAACCAGATTCTCAGCAAGCCAAAAAAAAAAACAAACACATGTAAATTGTGAAGATGTCGCCGAGAACCAGTTTTTCCCAAGATGCCCCGCAATCCCCACTTTGTCAGGAACATGGACTGCCAAGCAGTACCAGTGGGTCTTGTTCATGCAACGACCGTGGCAAAGCAGGACAATGGGAAGTGTTTTAACATTGCGAACAACCATGGCTTAGAGCCTCACTTAGTCTTGATAATCGTGCGTCGCATCCAAATCTCCATGCTTCACCACCGGCTAGAACCAAGCATCCTCATCAGGGCGGTCATCGGCTAACGGTGGGAACAGGTACGATAAAACGAGCTGTGATTGGTCCCGCCGGAACGGTTCTGGCAAAAAGCCGACAGATGCAAATTTGCCACGACGCCCCACGATGTCTGTTGTATTTTGAACTACTAGAGGCCACTTGCGGCGGGTCCGCGATTGCTCCGATGACTACTTTCTTGGCGGTGCTGCATTGGAAACGAAAAGCCACACCTTGACTCCCGGGGCCAAGAAACTTAATATGATCTAGCCCAGCGGCGACTCGGATGGGAGCGGGATCTTTAGAGCTTTGCTGTCTAGGAAAATCTCACCCCTGACGGACGCCGAGAAGGCGAGAACCTAACAAGCGAGGTCGGGCCGACAACGAGCCACAATGCATACCGGAGAAATGGGGTAAACCGATCTCAGCCGATGAAGTCCCTATGGATATTAGGGGTTGCGCTGACCAGGACATCCCTACTCACACCCGAGCTCGCCATGACCCTTATTCGCCATCGCCGCCAGGACCAAGGAACGAGTGCCGTCGGCGCTCCACCGTTCTGACTTGGTTCGTCGATCATCGATCTTCAAACCAGCATGGCGGAGCGGGACACGAACGGAGCTCCACGGGCATGTCCATATACAAACTCCTTCCCCGCGGTCGACCTCTTGTCCGTTGGCCAGAGCTGCAAATTCGGTATTTGCACTGCTCTACATCATGACGGCTTCAACTCCGAATCCCGCCCTCAACGGGGAGTCCAGAGTCGGCGAGATCATAGCCATCATCTCGGCGGCTTGCGTACTCTCAACACTAGTCGTCGCCTTGAGATGCTACTCTCGCGCCGTCATTCTCAGAAGTTTCGGACTGGACGATGCTGTGATGGTTCCAGCACAGGTACGTATCGGGGAGCCCCCTTTGACCGGGACACCGTGAATTCTGACCGTTCCACAGATCTTGACGATAGCATCAGCTGTGGCCATCGGGCTCGGTACGTCAGGACGTCATTGCCGTACCGGATCCCTCAGTCACTGACCTGCAAGCAGAAGCCAAATACGGTCTCGGTCGCCACTCCTGGATGATGCCCAAGGAGGACTACATCCCTTACATGAAAGTAGGACTGTCGCAGTGCGGTACTTGCTCAACTCGGAGGCTGACCGGCATCAGTCCTTTTATAGCTCCATCGCTGTCTACAATGTCGCCGTCTGCATGACCAAAATATCCATCCTGCTGCAGTACCACCGTCTCTTTTCTCACACAATGATTCGGAAAGTCATCCTCGGTGGGCTCGTCTTCCTGATATGCTGGGGGATCACGCTCTGCTTCCTCCTGCCCCTCGTCTGCATCCCGGTCGACGCATTCTGGAACCCCGACGTGCCCGGCTTCTGTCTAGACAACGGCACTATTTGGTACGTCATGGCGGGCGTCAATGTCTTCACCGACTTTGCCGTTTTCTCCATGCCCATCCCGGTCATCAGTTCGCTGCACCTCCCAACGAAGCAAAAGGCCATGCTCCTAATCGTCTTTACCCTCGGCATTTTGTAAGGACCCCCCTTCCAATCCCCATTCCCATTTTTTCGGTGTTCACTGACAATTATTCAACAAGCCCCTGCGCCGTCTCAATCTACCGCATCCACACCCTTTACTCCGCCGCGCATTCGACCGACGCGAGCTGGGACAACGTGGACGCCGCTGTCTTCTCCTTCCTCGAGCTCTCGGTCGGCGTCATCGCCATCTGCCTGCCCACCCTCCGCCCCGTGCTGATGCAGACCATGCCGCGCATCTTTGGCTCGCTGCTGCGCTCCAATTCGGGCGGATACGGCAACGGTCCCACTGGTCCGACTGCCGGGGGCGGCAGCCGCACCCCTTTTAGCGGGCACGGGACGGGTACTGGCGCTGTTGCTGGTGGCGGTGGCGCTGGTGGAGGTGGGGTGTTCACAAAGGTCGGTTCCTCCGGGACAACAACGCTACGGGCGTCAGATAGTACCGAGGGGCTGAGGCCTGGGGACGAGGAGATTGCGCTGCCGCCGAGGAGTCGGATGGGAGATGATATCGAGTTTGGGGAACTGCCTCATGGGCCGTTAGATGCGAATATCCCTGTTGCGAAGCGGTACAGCGTGAGTGTGGTCGGGGGCTGGGAGCCCGCGGCGTATCTCGATGAGGCGGTAGGGGGCGGGAATCCGGTGGGCATCAAGACGACCACGGTCGTCACGCAGAAGGTGTCGTTTGCCGAGGAAGGAAATCGGCTGTCTGGGGAGAACGCCAACCCATGACTCGTACACTCCTGATACGCATCATAGATGGGTTTGGTCTTCCTTCTTCCCGTGTACATCACTTCAGAGATACCCAGAGTTGATAGGATCTTGTAATTGCTTCAAAGCTTTAGATGACAGGGTGGTCTAGACCATTGCGCCTTGTCCAGTCTACTATTTATAACACATCTTTTAAACACATTGTAGTCTAATTCCTAATCTGCAACCGTGACCTAAACGCTTACCACCCGCTTATACCTGTATCTTAAACCTTGATAGGTTCCGCCTGACAGTCTAGACATTTCCCTTCCTCCTCCGTGTCTTCGATCCTCCAACTCCACTAGCACCAGTTCTTTCCTCGCTCCGAGATCGTCTAGGACTCCTCCTCAGGGCCGCGTTCTGCGCCACCTGGGTACCGGGCATCGCGCCGGACACCTGCGTGGGCTTTGCCGTTGTGTCCGCGGATTGATCGCCTTCATCGGCCTTCCGCTTGGGGCTGGACACCCCGGTGCCCAACAGCGCGCTCCCCCTTACCGGAGAGCTCTTCACGTTTCTCGGCTGGGTATTGCCCGTTTTCCGCTTTTTGGTGGGCGTGCGTTGCGCCTGCCTAGAGCCATCCTGATCGTAGGCCTTGCGCTTCGGACGTGGAGTGCTGGCTGGTGTGCTCGCCGTGGCAGCCGGTTGACCGCAGGCAGCTTGAGCGTCCCTCTTGCGCAGGCGGTGTACGCGAGCGGTGTGGTCGGCTTGGGTCTGTTGCCGATTCTTTCGACGACCCGACCACGGGGGGACCGGCGGACTCCGACGTCAGAGGGTGCTGTCGTGCAGCGCTACCCACAACTCAATCATGTTAATCAAGTTAACCAATCAACCAAGCAACCACGGGCCCTCTCGGACTCAATCAAGCAAGTTCGAGAGGGGCGAAAGTTGACTCCCTGATTGATTGATTGACTTAGAGTCATGTGACCTTTCCCGTACCTTTTGACGTGATTTAGCAGGCGTTTCGAGCGCCGACAGGATACGCGACTTCCGACGCGACTGCCGACGTGACGACAGCCCATCCTCCTAGCCAATCCCCAGCCTCGGTTCTACGGTCGGAAATCCCTCCAATCTATCTACTTCAATTGCTGAGCCTCTATGGCCCTGACAGTTTTTGGCGGGCGTCCTCCGACCTCCATTATCGCGCAGCTGTCGGAGTCATGGTCCTCAAGCGATTCTGACCGCTATGACGGCTTCCCGATGGCGAGGTGGCGGGGGCGCTGTTTCATCGAGGACGAGCGCCTCTGGAGGAAGGGATCCCGGCCGCCGAAGACGTGGATTAAGGACCATGGCGTCTCCCTTCGTGAGGTCAACCGGAGCCGCCTGCTACGTACGTCATTTTACATCCAGGGCGCAGTCTGCGCTGGCTTGAGACTCGCTGGAACACAGGCGATCAGCTTGCGTGGCTTCGAGATGCCAAGGAAGGTCTCGAGGGATACTGGACAGCGTGGTATCGCGATCAAGCGAACAGCGAGTCTCCTCCTCGCCCGGCAAAAGCTACGGGCTGAGCGGGAAGATGGCGAATATGGCCAGTGGCTCGGCACCGATCTTACACGCCTGCGAAATCTAGCCTCGGATGCGACAGAGCTGGAGCGGTATCTACGCCTCGAGCTGCCTATCGAAATCGATAACCCCATAACGTGGTGGATGGATCGCGGGCAGCAGTTCCCAACTCTCAGTACGCTGGCGCTAGACCTCTTCTCGATCCCGGCGATGGCGGCAGACTGCGAGAGAGCCTTCAGTCTGGCGAAGCTTACTCTTACAACCCAGAGACTCGCAATGGATCCAAAGACCCTCGAGATGGTTCAATGTATGAAGAACTGGCTTCGCCGTGACGCAGTTACCCTCGGCGGTGTTTACTTCAAGCCAGCGGCGTCTGATGACGAGGCTGACAGTCTCTAACGGCTGTCGGCGCGGTTAACATAACAGACGCCGGTTATAGAGAGATGTACAAGCAGTAGGGGTGCTAGCAGGCTTCGCAGTGTCTCAATTATGTCAATTAAGTTCCAATTTCCGTCCAATCAAGCAATCAAGGATTCCAGGAATTCAAATAACTCAAGTTTCGCTGTGAAATTGACTTGGTTCAATTGTGAGCAGCGCTGAGGAGCTCCTTTGTCTGTCTGCACCGGTTGATGGGACTCAAGTACGAGCCCCCTGGCAAATCGGGAAAGCCGGCGACTGGCAACCTGAAGACAAGAAAATATGTAGCTCGCGGCAAAGGCAAAGGGAAAGCGGTACCTGCAGCCCAAACCAAGGGCAAAGCCACAGCTACTAAGATTCTGACAGCAAAGCACATTCGTGGGCCATATCTCCTCCAAGCTTCAATCTGCCTTCCATCCTAGCACCTCGTAGCGGATAAAAGCCATGGCATTGGCCATAACGAGAAGTGAGCAGCTCCATTTGTCTGCCTTTTTCCCGACTTTGCAATATTCGTGGCTGGCCGTTGGAGGGGCAGGGTTACCTGAACTGCAGCCAGTCTTTCAGAGCGTCCCGAGCGCTGTCGCTTCGCTCGTGTAGGCCCGTCCTCTAGTGAGTCGAAATACCAGCTCTTCCCGGTCGAACGCTGGTAGATTATGACTGACCAGTGGTTCCCGTTACAATGCACTAAGTGCATCGTGAACTTCGCGCCGATCTACCGGGTGTTGTGCTGTTGGGCTTTAACAGGGCCGACCAGTGAAACATCGCCCAAGATCGGAGCCTTCGGCAGCGGATCGCTGATGCCTGACGCTCTGGCTCTTGAGCGGCCGGCCGTATGGGACGCATCCTGGACGTGGAGTAGGTACGGCCCAGGCAACAGCCACCATTGCCCTGAAGAGCGAGGGCCGAGGCGGGCGTCTGGCTGGTCCTGAATCCAAGCGAGCAGCCGGTCAGCGAGGTGGTAGAGTTCTTCTCCTGCCAGCCATTCCCCGTCTCGCGCGTTTCTTGAGCCCGTTGTGACAATGAATCCAATTCTCGAATTTCTCTTGGTTGTCGTTATCGAGATGTTGATGAGCAACCCGCTGGTATATTCTGGTGAGAAATGCGTTATGGTTTGTCACGTTTCCTGAATCGAGCTTCCGGTCAATGCCATCTGTCGTGTTCACGTCATGGAGCTGGGCATTGGGGACTTGATGTTGTGGGAGACTGGGAAGCTGGAGTGCCTTTGTTGCGTCTAGAGTTGGCCGGCCGCCGAAATCGGCGAGATATGGCGGGTCCGCTGTGATTGTTGGCGGCTGGTGAAGCAGGGCTAGGCGCCCGGGCCGGCCATGTTATGGGGTGATGGGGTGAGTGTTGTACTTGTACAAGGCCCTCGATCTCCGGTCGACTGTCGGTCTGCTGTCTGTTGATGTGTTTTCCTGTACGGTCTGCAGAATCTTACCTTTGACACCAGTATCTTGTCCTCTGTATCGCTGTAATGGAATGGAGTGCCTCCTTATAGACGTTGACGCAGACAAAGTCCTTGAGGTGCTCTCGCGTTTGCGCTTTGAATGCTTTTGTAGAACCTTTATCGTACCGAGAAACCTCCATTGTTCAAGAGGTAAGCGGCTCAACAATCAAAAGGTTGTCATTGACAATGCTAGATATTCAAAGTCTCCGTTCCCGCCTCCGGGTCCCTTGTCTCGTCGCTTTGATGAATTTTCTCATCAATGAAGTTAACAAAGTCAAAAAACTTCAATGGGCGAAGCGACCACTGTACTAGGCCTACGCTGTGCTTCATTACCGTTCTTCGTTCCATAAATATTTTCGAGTCCAACAATGGGTGACCAAAACCGCTGTCGCCGGGAGAACAATGCGGGCGTTGAGCTGAGATGACTTGGACGCATCTCCAGCTTCATCTGAAGCCCACTTGACGATGAGGAGAGTTATACACATTACCAGGCCATGCCACTTCTTTTGCCAGCCTTAAGTCATTGGCATGATTAATAACAACAAAGAACAAATTCAGATTTCCGAGCTGCTTTGCTCGAGTCAAGCGGGGTTCCGTGGCCACGCCACTGGAAGGGAAACCTGTAATCAGAGACCCGATGACTGAAATGAGCTAACAGGACATGAAAACGAAGAGACAAAGAAACAATGCATAAGGTGCCGTGCCATTCAGGAACACGGCAGTGAAACGCTGGCTACTTTGTTACTGCCACGTACTACTTGTTAAAGCGAGGCTTCAGTGACGAACTGACACTGTTTTACATAGTGGAATTGAGGAAGGAGCGAGAGCTTCATTTACTGGCTCAATCCTCCAGAGTTTATCGTGTAGCGATTGGTCGTCGCATGGCTTGGCGTGGCCCACACAATGTTCAAAAGCTTCGCTTCTCACTTACGGGGTCACGGGGCTGACCCACTACAGTCAAGGTACATAATTACTGTAAGTGTACAATCCAGCAGCCACTCATCGTTTGACATTATTATCTACCCTTGCCAGCACACGACCACTTAAGAGAGATGCCACCAATCATCTTGTTATCCTGCATTCATTGAGCAGCTCCTCGCGTGGACCATCGCGTAGTTGGCAATCTTGAAGACAGTCCAGACTCCCCAGAAACCCCCGAGGAAACTTCAGTTTAAGGGGCTGCAAGGTCTCAACAGTCATGGGCCGGAAGGTTGGGAGTGACGTTATTGGGAAGCTGTCATGGTGGTCGTGTCTTACATCGCGCTTTGTAGCATATGTGGGACGGCCAACGGCAGGGTCAACGAGACGTTGGAGATATGACGTGGTTTCACTACATCTGGTCCGATTTCTCGTGCATCAGTGAAAGAAGTGATCCGACCGGCGCGCTGGCAACCACGCCCTTAAAGGACTACATGCCCCTCGATACCATATCCCGAGACCTGAAACCTGCCCGGTTACCATACCTTAGACAATGGAGTTTCTCAAGGCGGACGTCGGACTTTACCTTAACCTTTGAAGGTAGCCGTCGGCTGACTTGTCATTCAGTAACCCTTAGTTATCGGGTGTACCTCAATGTAAGTCAAGTAGGGACCGCTGGAAGTCGCCCGTCGGTTGAAGCGGGAAGCAGCACGTCTTCCGGCGGTCGGTTCTCATCGTCCGGGCTTCCTTCTCCCCAACCGTAAGGTTCAGGCCCACCGAAAGATGCGCGCATACCTGTGCCCCCAGGAAACGCAGCTGCCGCATTGGGTCGGAACAGGGCCAAGCAATTGGCCATTGCAACTGCCGCTGTTGCAGATTGGTCATGATTAGGTACCCATGCTAAGGTACTGTCACCACACTGAGCATTCATCAAAATCGGGGACGCTGTCGTGGTTTTGGCCGGAACATCCCCTAGATTAGAGCAAGCAGCCGTTGGACCTCTGAACTTTTCTTGGTCCCAAACCTACACCACCAACTGGAGGGGTTATAACAGGCTGGTCAAAAAAAAAGTGGAACGAATGTCGATGATGTCGCTGCTCACCGTGAACGAACAAGCCACGCGCCTCAGATAAACGGCATGCATGAACCCGTCGGTTGGTAGAGATCCGAACATAGTTACGTACTTGTCATGGAAGTGCTGAAACACAAACAGGAAGGAAATGAAATCGCGCTGCCGGAAGTCCTCCTTCCCGGCAGGAGCAATATCAGACTGTCTGCCTGATTCGAATCGTGACTGCTGTGTGTACAAGTAAGTTGCTGCAAACCAGGACCCGTTTTCCTCTCCAGCAGGCTTCTGCGAAGGCCTCGTAAGGCATGTGAAACACTGCCACCACATTCTGTTGTGGACAGGACTCGATCTTGATTTTCGCCGGGCCACTGCAGGGCACCCTCCCTTCCCCGGGAGGCCACACTTACCACTTCATCCGAAGCCGACTGGCCTGTAAAAATCGGTGCACTTGAAAATACAACCTGTTCCAGTCCACTCGAGTTTCCCCCACCCATCCTCTCGACCCAATGACGCTCACCAATTTCATCACCACAACGCTAACATGTCAAGCTCAAGCGAGAAGCCTGAATTTAAGGAGAAGGGGCCCCTCACGTCCAACGCCAGCTACTTTGATGGTGACCCAGTCCAGCTCGCGGTACGTTTTTGGTGTCATCCCTTGGTTGTGCCTGGTCATTTAATATTGATGAATCAAAGCCATCGAGCGCAGCTGAGGCTCTGCCCATCGAGCTACGCGAGACCGGGGAGGCCCTCAATGTCACTGCGGCCGACATTATCGAGGCAAGGAAAGCCGCAGGAAGGCTTACCCTCGACGACACCAAGCGCATAAGTTATCATTTCTGATGAGTACATGTCCAGCGCTCACGATGATTGTTTTGCTCTTTAGTCCATGGCGCGAGTCCATAAGCAGCACTCTCGCGATCCGAACTTCCCGATTCAAATCATCGCGAAGCTCGAGGAATTTTTGCGTTGGTATCCCCGCTCTTTATGTTGGTCGAGAAACTGGCTAACCAGTGCGAAGACAATGAGGACGTCTTCAACGACCCCGAGAAACACGAGCATCTCATCGCCGAGATAAAGATCCAGGCTGCCTTGATTATCAACAACTCTCCCTATGCCGAGGTGCGCTCGGTTGTCGACAATCATAACGACCCGTCGATGCCGGTGTCAACAATTCGAGCCTGGGCAATGGGCATCCTCTTTGCTTGCTGCGTCTCGTTCGTCAACGCGTTCTTTGATGTGCGCCTTCCTTACATCTACGTCATCGCAACCGTGCCGCAGCTACTCGCCTACCCATTCGGCAAGTTCCTCGAGCGGGTGCTGCCGGAAGTCGGTTTCACACTGTTCGGTATTCGTCACAGCCTCAACCCGGGTCCGTTCAACAAGAAGGAGCACATGCTGGTTACCATCATGTCCAACGTCGCCAAGAGCGTTCCTTACACCAACTACATCATATGGATTCAGGTGCTGCCACAATACTTCAACCAGCCGTGGGCCATCAACGTCGGCTACCAGACCCTGATCGCGTTGTCCACCAACTTCATTGGTTACGGCCTGGCTGGCCTCTGCCGCCGCTTTCTCGTGTACCCGGCCTACTGCGTATGGCCGTCTTCCCTCGTCACAATTGCGCTCAACTCGGCCCTTCCATGACACATCCACCGAGACGGCAATGGTCGCCGGACCCTTCAAGTCGATTTGGCAGATGTCGCGGCTCAAGTTCTTTAGGTGGGCTTTCGGCCTTATGTTCGTGTACTTCTGGTTCCCGAACTACATTTTTGCCTCCTTCAGCTTCTTCAGCTGGATGGCATGGATCGCGCCCAGCAACGTCCACGTTGCCAACATTACGGGCAGCTCGAGCGGCCTGGGCCTGAACCCGTTGCCGACCTTTGACTGGAACATACTCATGTTCAACCTCGACCCCTTGATGGTGCCCTTCTTCTCAAGTTCAACTTCTTCCTCGGCGCCTTCTTCGCCATGTTCGTCATCATCGCTCTCTACTATACCAACACCTTCAACACGGCGTACCTACCCATCAACTCGAACCGGCCTTTCGACCACTTCGCGCATCCTTACAACGTCACGGCTATCATCGACGACAATGGCATCTTTGACAGCGCGAAGTACGAAACATACTCGCCCCGGTTTCTCTCGGCCGGCAACGTGGTCGTGTACCTGTTCTTCTTTGCGCTGTACTCGGCCACCGTCACTTACGGCGTTCTCTACCACCGTCACGAGATCATGATCGGTATTCGCGAAGTCTGGAGGAGCGTGAAGCAGTGGGGAGCAAGGCTCATTGAGTTTAAAGACGCCGGGAGCGAGGATGGATCCGACGACGACGCCAACCTGCTCGACGTCCACAACCGACTGATGCGCGCCTACCGCGAGGTGCCCGAGTGGTGGTATATGATCTGCCTAGCCCTCGCCGTTGCGCTCGGCATGGCGGGTATTGCTGTGTGGCCGACCAACACGTCCCCGTTCGTGGTGCTGTACGGCATCGCGCTGTGCCTCGTCTTCATCGTACCCATCGGCATTATCATGGCCATGGTATGTCAAATTCGCGCTCTTTTTGCCCCTTTCCAGATGTTCGGGAGTCACGGAAGTCGACTTGTCCCCAAATCACACTTTTGCTCCCGAACTACTCCCGAGTCACGCTTAACAGGCAAGAAATAACTGTATTGGACAGACGTGAATGCAGGTGACGCTCAACGTGCTGGCCGAGTTCATCGGCGGCGTCTGGGTTGAAGGCAATGCCATCGCCATGTGCTTCTTCAAATCATACGGGTACGTGACCTGCGCGCATGCCCTGTCGTTCAACAACGACCTGAAGCTGGCGCACTACATCAAGATCCCGCCGCGGTTCACATTTTGGGCGCAAACGGTTCCCACGCTGGTTTCGACCTTTATCAGCATCGGCGTGCTGCAGTACCAGGTGCACATTGAGAACATTTGCACGCGCCACGCGCCATTCCGGTTCACCTGCCCCGGGCCCAACACCTTTTTCACGGCGGCTGTGTTCTGGGGAACCGTGGGCCCGCGCAAGATTTGGGGTGTTGGCGGGCAGTACGTCGTCACGCTGCTTGGATTCCCTTTCGGAATCCTTCTCGTCGTGGTATTCTACCTTCTGAGCAGGAAGTATCCCAAGAATGCCATCGTCCGAAATGCCCACCCGGTCGTCATAATGGGCGGCGCGATAGCCTGGGCGCCGTACAACCTGGCTCACATCTGGCCAGCCGTGCCCGTGGCTGCCTTTTCGTGGCTGTACTTGAAGAAGCGGTATCTGGGACTGCGGTCCAAGGTATTTTATTCCCCCCTCCTTGGGTTAGTTGAAAGCTAGGACGTGCTGACAAACTCTGGGCAGTACAACTTTGTCAGTTCTGCCGCGTTTTCGTGCGCCATTGCCATCAGCGCCATCGTCATCTTCTTTGCGCTGCAGATCTCTGACATTCAGCTGGATTGGTGGGGTAACTCGGTTGTTAACGAGGGATGTGATGGCAGTGGCGACTGCGTACGCATGAAGCTGTCTGAAGGTGAGTACTTTGGTCCGAGGATTTGAGAGTTCCATTAGCCGGCTTCGGTTTGGTTCTGGAACTCGGACTAGGAGTAAGGAGTATGGGTTTGCATCCATTTATCTATCGGGACTGGGACATGCCCAAGGATTGTTTGTTGGTAATTGTTTATGAGCGATGGATCTCGGTTAGGTAGCTTTGTTAGCCGCTGTCTTACTCTCCATTATCATCAGATCCGGACGACGAGAACACGATGATGCCACATTGCAGGCAAAAGCAGCCCCAAACCTGTAACGCTCGAAGCTGAAAGCTGCAGTTTCGAAGGAAAGGACTGGACATCGCCACCACCAGGCTGTCGTTCCGCAAATTATTGGCTTGATGCCTGAGAATTGAAAGGAGGAGGTCGCCAGGTGACCCACTTTCACAGTCGCCAACCAATTGACAGGATTCCCAGGAACTTAAGGGTACCCTGGTCATCCAATCATTTTGCAGGGCGAATTCTGCGAAAGTTTCAGCTTTCGAGCAGTCGCCTTCAATGCCTCGTTCTTTCTTTTCGACTTCAAGAAGTCCAGGACCAACAACAAACAAAGCACCGCGCCCCGCTGTTGCCTACCAAATCCAACAATTGAGCCTGGAAAAATCCAGTATCCTGTGATGCTCCTTTTCACTCGGTTTCTCCGAGCCGCAGTCAACTTTCCACCTTTTCCAAACAAACAACATACCACCACGCTTCTCGCTCGCACCCTGGCGACCATGGCAGTCGACGACGGCGGTCGCGTGGCCTATGCGCAACTGACAGGCAAGCTGAAGCCGCAGCTCCTTCAGGCTCTTGAGAGCAGTGGCTTCACACACATGACGCCCGTGCAGGAGAAGGTGCTTCAGCTCCCGAGTCTTACTCAGGACTGTCTTGTTCAAGCCAAGACGGGGACGGGAAAGACTCTCGCGTTTTTACTGCCAGCACTCCAAAAACTGCTTGAAGTCAAGGACCTGGACCGATCATCCGTTGGCCTGCTGGTTCTCGCACCCACACGCGAGTTGGCACAGCAGATTGTCGATGAGTGCGACAAGCTGACTAGCGCCTGCAACCCGCCCTTGGAATGCCACATCGCGGTTGGCGGCAGCAAGAGGAAGTTTCACATGGACAAATTCCTGAAGAAGAGCCCAGCCATCCTGGTCGCCACCCCAGGTCGGCTGATTGACTACCTTACCGAGGATGCAGCACGCCAGAAGTTCGCCAAGATCCGTTGCGTCGTGCTTGACGAGGCAGACCGCATGCTCGATGCCGGTTTCGCCCCTGCGCTGCGCCAGATCCTGGAGCAGATCCCTTCCAAGGCGCAAGCTGGATGGCAAGGCATGTGCTTCAGCGCGACGGTGCCTCCCGAAATTCAGAAGATGCTGCCCATGGTGCTCAACAAAGACCACGTGCGCATCTCAACCATCGACGAGAACGAGGTTCCGACGGTGGAGACTGTGCCGCAGAGGGTATACCCCGTCCCTTCGGTCGACGACATCCTGCCCACGCTGCACTCTGTCCTCTCTTGCGCCAAGGCGGACAATCCGGCGCTCAAAGCCGTCATTTTTTGCTCAACGGCGCGGCACGCGGGCCTTCTCTACCACATATTCGGCCACTCGGGCGAGGCCGCCCCGCCGAAGTTGCCCGTTTTCCAGATGCAGTCGCGCATGTCGCAGACTCAGCGAACGCGCACGGTTGAGGAGTTCAAAGCGACAGATCGCGGGCTGCTCTTCGCGTCCGATGTGGTCGGCCGGGGCATGGATTTCCCTGATATCGACCTTGTTGTGCAGGTCGGCGTGCCGAGCGAGAAGGACCAGTATGTGCACCGCGTGGGCCGTACCGGCCGCGCCGGCAAGGGTGGCAAGGCCGTCATGATACTTGCGCCGGAGGAGATGTGGTTTGTGAAGTCCAACCCGGAGTTCCCTATCAAAAACGAGGGCCCTTTGTAAGTTTTCCAATTTCCCCACATTTCTCAAGTGTGCCCTTTACGCGTGGCTAATGCACTTGTCAGCAACCACCCAAAAGCCGCGACCTACCCGTCAGCAGCGATTATCCAATCCGCATTAGCCAAGGTACCCCAACAGACCAAGGAACAAGCCTACATCGGCAACCTAGGTTTCATCAAGTCGCTGATGAAGCGTTACGGCCTGCATCCCGCGGGAGTCGTGGAGCTGGCCAACCGGTTCGCACAATCGTTTGGCTGCGACAGCATCCCCGTGCTAAGCCCCATGCTTGTTGGCAAGATGGGCCTCCGCGGGGTGCCGGGTTTGGTGGTGGAGGGGAAGGGGCTGGTTGCCGGCCCACCGCCAGGGTCGGACGCCGCGGGCCCCCCCAGGGATAAGCGAGGTCCCCGCGGGAAGAATGGCGGGTTCAGGACTACGGAGGGACGGCGGCCGGATGGGCCGCGCAGACGCCAGAACCAGGCGCGGGAGGATTCTGGAAAGCAGGGTGAGGAACCTAGCCGGAAGAGGGCGAAAAGGTGATTGGGCTGGTTGTATGTGTGTGGTTGGGCTAATGTTTGTGCTGTTATTAGGTGATGGTCGGTTGCGGCGACGCGGGCCTGCGTTTTGACATGTTGATAGATTGTTCATGGACTGGGCGTGTTGTTATGATACCCCTTAAGATGTTCTATGGGAGGCGGATGGCTTCTATCGAACTGGTTTAGACGGGCAGGAATGGATAGTCGTACTCGGTTTGTCGTGTCAATGGAAGCGATGCCAATGTTTGGTTCCAAGAAGCTGGTGCTGGGGACCGCGTGAGCAGACCAACAAGTTGCCTCAACCGGCATCAAAGTTCACGTCGAATCACATGCAGCCGATTCTCAGTCGAAGGAGCTAGGGGACCGAAGCACTGCTCACAGGTCCGAGGTGGTGCTCATTCACCGGTTATGCATTTCTGTTGATTAATGATACTTAGTTTCCAGGTAGGCTGTGGAGGCCGCGGAGAGGGAGCACACAAATCTTCTTGGAAAAACACCGTTGCGAAACGTGGGGGCCAATCTTATATTCCAGTTCACAGAGATGTACCTCACCAAAGGAAGGATTGTGTATCCTGAAAGGGAAGTATGGGCATCTTCAGGCACGCATCAACCCCTGCCCAATGTTGTGGATCTCAGAAGCATGACTGTTCCCTCCTGGCGCTGTGGTCCAAACCCCTCCCTCGAAGTCAGCCACAAGACCCAGTTCGAGAGATCTCACCCACTTCCCTACCGAGGTCGTCCTGTTTGAAGACGACAAACCCCCGCAAGTACACGAATCCCATCAATCTTCACCAACTCACAACAGACACGCCATGATGCTCTTCGCCATCCGCCCTGGCAGGCAAGCCGACGTCACCCTCTGCGGCGCCATCGCCCAGGCCGCCTTCGCACCCTCCCCGCTCATTGAGAACATTTCCCCAGCCACGGAGGACCTAGCCCTCGCCTTCTGTTCGGGCGTGGCGCAGTCTGCGCTGGACAACCCCAACGCACACCTCGTCGTCGCCGAAGACACCTCCCAGTCTGGATCATCACCGCCGGTGCTGGTTGGGTTTGCAAAGTGGGTTTTTGTTCCCGAGCGAGGAGAGCTACCCTCGCTCTTGGCGTCGGCGGCCGAGGCTGGCACGGCCCGCGGTGCTGGGGTGGAAGATGATAATGCTGAGGGGGAGAAGGGACAGAATCTCTGGGAAACGGTGACTAACGCCGAGCTGGCGAAGGAGTATTTTGGGCGGCAGCATGAGAGGCATGAGAGGTATATGGGCAGCCGCCGGCATTGGTATCTCGAATTAATCGCCACCCAGCGCGAAGTGAAGGGATTGGGCGCTGGCCGGAGACTGGTGCAGTGCGGGTTGGACAAGGTTGATGAGGATGGGTGTGAGGCTTATCTGGAGGCTTCGCCCGAGGGGAAGGGGCTGTTTGAAAGGTTTGGCTTCCGGGTGGTGAAGAAGTTGGAGTATGCTGATGGGGCGTATGTTGAGTGCTGCATGATCAGGGATGGAAAGAAAGGAATATGAGGAACACGTGTAGAGACGGTCTGTTGGATGGTGGTGGGTGGTGGTATGAGGGTATACGACTTACGAGTGCTCTGTGAGGAAGGAAAGCTGCTGTTAGTCCATCTCTGAGAATGAAGCGACAAATCTAGAATCATGTGATTTATACCACGTCTTGACTACCGTATAGTTATAGTTTAATGTTATTGATTACCTGGCAAGGCACCTTGGTGGGCATTCGAAAGGAAGCTGCACGTCTTGTTGACCACTAGCCTGACTCTCCAATGTTGTCTCCAGCACTTTTCAGTGTGTATTCTTGAAGTCGTTTGTCCTCAGAATTCCAGTGATTTCCAAGTCTTGTGCCGACCCGACCCAGCAATAATCGACCAACCATGGCTGCATTGAGTCTTCACCCACCGAGTCTTCACCCACCCACACCCACCGACCCAAACGAAGCTATCGATGGAGAGCCTGCCGCTCGCCTCGCTTTTGAACACTGGGGGGTAGGGCCAGTAGGCACCCAGAACAGGAGCATCTTATCCAATCGTCGTGTTTTGTCGAGGCAGAGTGCATGCGTCACGCCTCTTCGACGAGCTACCACCCACGAAGAGTGCCTGGAGGTCTGCCTGGTTCCATATTCGGAGAATGGCTAGGATTTGGCACGCGCACGCAGTACAGCCTTGGTCGTACAGCACGAGCGCAAGCCACTCCGGGGATTTTTGCGTTGTCAAACCAAGTCACTCGCAGCTTGCAGACCGCTATTTTTGAGTGGCAGTGCGTACCCGGTGGACAGCAACAGACATTTCTCTATCGTCTTCATAAATCAAAGTCAGGCATCAAAACCGGATGTTCCACAATTCCAATTTTCCTACATTCTCAGCATTGTACGTTGTCTTTACTTCGCGCCCGGTAATCGCGGCAGCGGCCTGAGCAATGGCCGAGGCTCTGGCCGCTGTTGGGGCAGCAGCAGCGATCCTCCAACTTTGCTCTTGCGCACACAAGCTTTTACAACACCCTGCTGCAGCTTGCCAACGACGCCCGTGCAGCGGCCGCCGAAGTGCGGCGCTTCGCCTACCAGATTCTGTCCTTTGAAGACGCGGTTGCAATTGCGCAATACACATTGTATATTATTGCACGAAAAACCCGAGTTCCCATGTCGTTCTCTTCTTGGAGAAGCGCAATGTGCTTGGGAATTTCGAGACTGAGGCGATAACGGTAAACGCCCATCTCCTCGACATCAGAGACAAAGTCATAGACATGACGAGCAGATCGAATCTGTGGACAAGCATCAAATGGAGCTTCAGGAAGTCTTCCATTCGGGGCTCATTTCCAGAGATGGAGAATGTCAAGACCACCCTCGATCTGTTGGTGGCCACCGTCCATTCCGAGGCGACGGCCAAAGCAGTCCAGTTTGGCGGGTATGAGCCTTTTTTATAAGCGCATCCTCCATAATCAGATGTGAGTCTACTTAACAAATACAAGTTATAACAGTGCTTCGAACGGGCTAACACCAAGAAACACCAAGGCGCCGGCTACGGCAAACCATCAAGCATCACGTTGACGCTTTGGAAGAGCTGCAAATCCAGCTGTCCGATGCCCGCCGCCTCAGTGGCTCAATGTCTGCTCAGTCATCGATTTCTGAGTTGAAACTCCATGAGACCTTGACCGAGCTCGGCCTGAGCATATATCTTCGCAGCGTCGTACCTGACCCCGCCCAACCCCCCCTTTTTGCATACGAAGACAAACTCCAAGTCAGAACACGACCGCACGCTCCTCTGCCAAGGCAGCGCCGACCCGAAGAAAGCATTCAAATTATGACAACAAACTCGCACTCACAGACCACATCACTCCCCAGTTCTCGACATTTCTCGAGTCCTGTCCGTCAACCACCCCGTGTTTCTCGAATGGGGCCGTCACGGTCTACATCTTCGGGATTGAATCTTGAAAAAAGGGGAGGCCCCCCGAGCCGCCCGGGGAAACCGCAACCAAACCAGCATACATCCATAACAAGAGGCTCAACTTCTCGACGCAGCATAGCTCGGTCCCCGAATCCCGCCAACCAAAGTACTTCTCTGTCACGGTCCTCTCCATCTTCTAGGCCACCTCTAGACGCCAGACAACTCGAGTCTCGATTGAACCTCAACAGCAAGGCAGGACGCTGAGATACAGGGAGGCAGACATCAACGAGCGCATTAACGGCTACGCTGGAAACCCGAGGGGTTGTGACCGAGGGTCCCTGCCGCGGCACACAACAGCCTCGCTAGTCCGGACACTGAAGGGCATCATTTCCAATAGGAAAGCGCATGAGCTTGATCTGGAGATTGAGCCGCTGGAGCCGAACCAGTGGGCTGTCTCTGACTTTGGGACTGGCAGGCTCGAGAAGAGCAAGGGGAAAGCTGTCCTTGAGTGGCATCCAATCTCGCCAGAGACCGACCCATGCTTGCGGCCACTTACTGTCATATGCTACGTTGCGAAAACTCCAGTATCGACTTGGTTCTCGGGAGACCGTTTGTGGTCGACAGACGGCGCCGCTGGCCAAAGGAGTATGCGGGCTCGGTCGCCTCTTAGGAGGAGGGGGTTGTTGATCACAGCCGACGGTCAAAGTACGCGCCCAGAACATGCTCAGAAGTATAGCTTGTTCAAGTTTTGCGCCTATGGTGAGAAACACATCAATTCCTGTATCCGTAGAGCCATTGATGACTGAAAACATTGATGACGATGACTGAAAACTGGAACCCGCCCGTGAATGTCGATCCGGCAAATTGTGCTAGCCGCTGAGGACTCCGTCGCCCAGCATGGCCGCGCCTGGTTAATGCATAGCAGGCCACAGCGACTAAGAAACTGCCTAAATCACTCGTGGTGTGGTGGAGATTGAGCCGAGAGGTTTGCGTGGATCCTCGAAGCCCGCGTTAGAGCGTCAGGATCATGACGGCCGGGCACTACGCAACACTGGTGATCAACAAACAAGACAACAAAACCAAGTAACTGAGCCATCTTACAAGATTCTGTAATGGGGTGGAATATCCTAGACACCACGCGAAAAGTTGACACACAGCCACCCAACGACTTCAGAGCTTGCGGCAGAGCCTCGTGCCCGTCTCAATCTGCTCCCACTTCTCGGTGCCCGGGGTCGAGACGGCATAAAAGACACCGTTTGGATCATACTTCTGCCTGATCTTCAGAAGAGCCGGATAGTTGGTGCCCCAGAAAGCCTGCTGCCAGTTGGGCTCGTAGGGGTCGGCCTGCTCACATATTAGCATGTCATTGTATCTCACGTACACATCCAGGAGTGGACAGCTCACCTCATTGATATAAGCGCACCCATTCGGCGCCGCATTCCGCAGCGCAGCATCCACCACGTTAGTCAGTTTGTCTTGGGCCGCCGCCTTGTCAGCGAGGGGCGCGTTGCCAGCCAGGGGGACAATGGTGATGAGCTTGTCGACGACGTTGCGGAAACGCGGGTTCACGGCGCTGTTGCCCCACTCGTTCTGGGGCAGGCCGTGGCCGGCGCTCCACATGTGGCCGACCATGAAGGAGCCTGCGCCGAGGACGGTTTGGAAGGCATTGATGATGGCCGAGTGGTTGTCCTCGACGTCTTTGCGGCCGATGGTCCACCCGCCCGTCAGGGCTGAGTTGCCGGCCACTTCGGTCTCGAACATGGCGTTGTACAGGTCGTAGAAGGTGCTGTAGTTGGCGCTGGACGAGGTGTAAGTGATGCCGATCTTGGCAAAGTCGTCGAACATGGGCTGGAGCACCGCCTGCAGCTCGGCTGGCGTCTTGCCGATGCCCACGAAGGGGTGCACGTGCAGATTCTGCCCAGCAGTGCCGATCTCGTAGTAGACGTACAAGCCGTTGTCGACAAAATGGGTGCTGTAGCCGTGGAAGATGCGCACTGCCTCCCAAAAGAGCGTCGCGTTGGTCGTGTGGCTTGTGTCGATGTCGAGGTGTACGCCCGAACTCGGCTTGTCGTCAAAGGTCTTGTACGTGGCCTCGACGATGACGCCGAACGCGGCCGGGCCGCCGCCCCGGAGGGCCCAAAAGAGGTCCGAGTTGGTCTTGGCGTTGGCCGTCCTAAGCACACCATCGGCAGTGATGACCTTGAACTGGAGCGCCGTGTCGGCGAGAAAGCCGTAGAAGTTGGTCAACGGACCGTGGCCGCCGCCTTGAACGAGACCGCCGGCAACACCAACCGTCTAGAACCACAAATCAGCTTGGAAGGCTTCAAGTTGGCTGGTCTGGCATGCTCCCTGCTTACCGCACACTCCCCGGTAACCATGATCTTGGGGGGTTTCAGGGCGTTGGCCTGCTTCAGGACCTGGAAGGCCTGGACACCGGCCCCGACAGTCACGGCGGAACCGCTGTAGTTGCAGGCGCCGCGATACTGATTTGTGAACTTGATGTCCTGGAAGCTGTGGGTGTTAATGACCAAAGCGCCCCAGCCGACGCTCCTGCCCAAGAAATCGTGACCCGTGTTACGGATAATCAACCGCAGGTTGTTCTCGCGGGCAAAGTTGATGCCAGCCTGGATATGGGCAGCGGTCTTGGCCATGATGACAAGCACCGGGTAGTAACCTAGGGTGCAGGTGTCAGACGGGTTCGTCGTTGGTCGGCAGGTGTCGTTTGTAAAGTAGGTCCAGAGACCAGCAGCCGGTAACTCGATCCTGTGAGTTATTAGCATGGGATATGTACAGAGCCTGGAGGGCATGGGAAGCCACTCACTGGAACTGTTCATTGTACCAGTTGGACGTCACCTTGTCGCATTCGTCCTTGTTGTACGTCTTCACCTCGCCCAATGGCCCCTTGAAGCTGTTGTAGCATGGGGCTCCGGGGGGTATATTAACTTGGAGATTTCCGCCGACTGTGGCGTTGAGCTTCTGCCATTTGGTATTGTTGGGCCAGCAGCGGTCGCCGGGGTAGCACTTGCAGGCGTAGCTCGCGCTGCCCCGTCTCCGCAACACCCAGCTCGACAATTCGTTCCCGGCAACAGATGTTGCCTCTTGGGCAACGGCATCCTGCGCGAGCAGGAGCGCGCCGCCTAACCAGCCGAGAACGCCACCTTTCATGATAAGGTTGCTGCAGGGTCCCAGAGGAGATGGAGGCGGGCGGAACGGCACCGGGATACCAGTCGCAGGAGGGTTGAGGCTTTAATACCTTTAATACCGCGAACGATGTCGCATCCGAGCCGGGGTCGTCAACGATGGTTGGAGAAAGAAGGCTGGCACGGACGAACGGCCTGTTGGTTGCTGGCCCGCAATTTTCCCACTTCGCTTGCGGACCAAGTTCCTGCATCGATACGACCCGAGTTCGTGGCTATAATCGATGCATTTTGGCTAGGGCTGATGGAATTGCAGAACAGGCATCATCTCATCTCGATTGTCTCGCGTTTTACTCTCTTGGGATTAGCTTATTGTTTACCGGAAGACCGGAATGTCGTGTGAGCTGACGATGTGACGTTGGAGACCCATCCGAACCAGGCTTTCTTCGACCACGAAATCTCGCCGGGCAGGCTTGCGAAATGGCAACCAGGTGTTTCTCCTGAGAGGACCGGGAGATGTTCGAAAGTGACCGCACATCATCCTGCCGGAAAGACGGCCGGATCGGCACGACACATGGTACAGTAGTACACCCCTGCTGGGGATCCGGAGATCAATGGGAAGCGAAAACGAAGACGAAGTCGGCGACAATGCTGAGGATGCGCCCAACAACTTGAGCACAGGGGTCGTGCCAGTGAGGGGAAGCCGCTCGAAACGGGACTAATTTGGTTGGCCAGAGGGGCAACCAGCAGAACCAGGGGCAAAGCCTTTCATCTTGAGGAAATCCAGAATCAATCGTTGTACATAGCTTCTTCCAGAACCAAAACGTGATCTCGTTCCGCGTTCCAATAGCCAATGGAACATGATGACTTGTGCAATGTGCAGTGGTTGGTTGTTCGTGTGTACAAGTACCAAGTAACTATGCACGCAGACGAGTCGCACGGCCGAAATTGCGACCCTCCTACCAATAGTTACAGAGTACGGAGGTACTTCTTAACACAGTTTCGCCGACCCCAATGACGACCATAATCAACCCTGGTTTGTTTGTTGTCACAGCACTTAAGTAAGGTATGTATTTACAATTCTTCACTTTTACTTCCTTATATTCCGATAGCGGGCCATCCACTCTTTAGAAGTTGATGATCGAGTCTACGGATGATCTTCACCTCTGAAAATAGGCTCTACTGACATGTTGCCCAAACCGGTTTGAGGGCTCAAAAACCATTGCATAGAGAGATGACCTCAACTCTGAAATTCCGGGCTCCCTTAGAGGTAACGTAGATATGCATAGGAAAGTGCCACAAATTCGTGTCACTACAGCTTTGTCATGAGCAGAGGGTAATTGGCCGAGCGCATTAGCAACGTTAAGACCTCTCTATCCAGGAGGCGAATATCCACACTTCGGCGACACTGGATTTTAGATGGGTACCACTGGGTGAGCGAATTCGCCCCCGCCTCCTCCCAACGCTTCCTTAGTTACCTCCTCGGCTGGCTCTGCACCCTCGGCTGGCAAGTCAGCAACGCATCCATCGCCTTCCTCACGGCCCAACACATCCAAGGCCTGCTCATCCTCAACCTCACCTCCTATTCCCCCCAGCGCTGGCACTTGACTCTGATGGTCATCGCTGTCGAAACAATCTGCCAAGCCTTCAACACCTTCTTCTATCGCCAGATGTCCCTGGTCGAGACCCTCTCGTCCTGCACATAGCAGGCTTCTTCGCGATCCTCATCCCATTCTGGGTCCACGACCACCCCCAACTCTCGTCCGACCCGGCCCAATTCCCATCTTCCATCTTTTTTAGTTTTACTGTTGGCGGCGGATGGGGCAACACCCCCCTCGCCTGCCTAGTCGGCATCCTCAGGCCCATCTTCAGCCTTTTCGGCTCCGATTCGGCAACGCACATGGCCGAGGAGCTGCGCGACGCGAGTAAGTCGTTGCCGAGAGCGATGATCGCCACGGCGCTGATCAACGGCGCGATGGGGTTTGTCATGATTGTGACGTTTTGCATGGTGTTGGTAAAGGAGGAGGTGTTGGCGACGCAGACGGCGCAGCCTTTTATTGAGGTGTTTTACAATGCTGTGGGGAGTAAGGTGACGCTACAGGGCTGACATGTATTATGGTGGTGATGGTTGCTTGTGGAGGGGTGAATATCATTGTCATGAGCTCGAGGCAGCTGTGGGCGATTGCGAGGGACGGGGTTGTGCCGTTTTCGGGGTGGTTCTCGGTTGTGGATGCGAGGAGGGGACATTTGCCGGTGAATGCGCTGGTGTTTTCGTATGTGCTGGCCGTGTTGCTGTCGTTGATCAATATTGGGAGTACGGTGGTAAGTGGAGTGCCCTTCGGAGGTGTGACAAGGGTTGGCTGACATGGTCAACTTGGTCGACGGGCCTTCAACATCCTCACCAGCCTTGTCGTGTGCGCGTTGCTGTTCTCGTGCGCCATCTCGATCGGTTGCATGGCGCTCAAGCGTATCCGCAACGAGTCATTGCTGCCTTCAAGCTTCAGTCTGGGCCGGTTGGGTCTGGTTCTAAACGTCTTACCCGAACATGAAGTGCTGTCTCGGCATGTTTTGCCGGACTCGTTACGCTCGGCTCCCTGTTGATCTGTTACAGATCACAATACATGAGCAGTATTCGTATCTGCTCTGACATGGAGTGTTCGAATGATTTTGTCAGAGATGCTCGATCTGCGATCAGCATCGGGTCAACCAAGGCACAGATTGATGCCAGGCCCTGCCGTCCCAATGCACAAAGGCGATCAAACACCCGCAAACGAGCAACGGCACTGCGCCATCCAAGCATTGGTGCCGAGAAGCCGGGGAGATTGGGATGGAATGTGGATTTTAGGTGGCTTTTGCTGCGTCAGGAATGGCAGATGGGGCAGTTTGATTCCCGGCTGATGTGACCAGCCCATCATGCTGGCCTCACTCCTGGGTTGACGGACAAGATTTGCGACGATTCTGGTCGCGGCCCTCTAGGGTGCCGTCTTCAAGAAAGTGATCGTCTCAACGGCAGGGTGAACTCCCTGAGCACATCCCTTCTCACAGGCTATAACTTTGGTTGACTCCAGGTCCAGGTCGATGGCGCTATCCTCCCGTTTTCTCTCATCATCCAGCTCTTCATCCAGAGATCCGTTCTAATACGACCAGGCGTGGTTACGGTTGGCCAGTTTAATCCACCTTCAATAATCCCCAAAACAAGCCCCAACAACCAAACAATCAACATGATCCGCCTCACTCTCGCCGCTCTCCTCACTCGTAAGGCCCCCTTCCCCCTTTCTTCCCCTTTGCCTCCCGCACCCACCACTAACCAATGTCGCTCTGTCAACAGTCGCCCTCACGGCAACAGCGCAAATCACGCCCAACAACGCCGGGGCGCGCAACGTCGGCTCGGGCAACGGCTCGCAGTTCATCACGGGCGGATGCGTCAACGACGCCGACTGCGGGTCGGGCTGCTGCGCTGACGCGAGCGGCGTGGGCGTGTGCTCGGCCGAGGCGGCCCAGTTCCAGAACGGCAAGAACGGGTGCGGCTTTGTGGATCCGAACGCTGCTGCGACGATTGCGGCCGCGCAGGCGCAGGTTGAGAGGCAGGGTTTCTGAGGTCAGGGGTGACATCAAGGTATGGGAGGGACTTTGAGGGGTGTGGGAGGAATGGGGGACATGCAGGTTGGGAGCTGAGCGTTGAAGTGAAGCGCGGGACGTGTACCTGAGTAGGGTATATACGGACAAAATAGGGTGTCGAATACGAACCAGGATCTGCTGAACAACATCAAGGCCCTGCTGGTCGCAAGGATTTTAAAGAGGATTGCAAATAACAGGCGAACATGCCCAAGTCCTGCCCAGAAGTTCACAGCTGCCGACCTGATCTATGCTCATCTGCCTCGCTGCTTACCTTGCCCTTCGCGTGGTACCAGGCGTCCGGTAGTGTTTCCAGTTTCAATAATGAGTCCCCACGGTACGGCTGAGTCGGGGACGAGAGCACGCACGCAGTGTCTGTGAAGTGCTTGCCGAGAACACACCAGGGGAGTCCTGACTGGAAGCTGAGTTGGTACCTCTATTTATAGACCTGTCCCTCACCAGTCTGGTTACTCCCTCGTCCCTCAGGAGATGATTATGGCACAAATTCACAGCGCTTTCTCGATGCCTACCTACGCATAACACAATTCCTCCAGCGGTTGCCTTTGTTTGCAATTGTTGAGCAGTGTAGGACTTGGATCCTCCAACACCTGAAATAATAAGCCTGGCGCTACACCGAGTCGAGAACCGACATGCAAAGACGTCGACAAGCTTTGATCACTCGCCTTGTGATTGGGCCAGGAGACGTGACAGGCTTTTATGTTAGATCCTGCCGATGCCTCAGCAGGCTGCGGAAGAGTCGCCGTCTAATTGGGGGTCGTTGGGCTAGACGGTAACACCATCTACATTGTATATTATTCACTCAACAATCGCGAACAAATCACAATGAAGGAGGAGGATACGGGCGTGTGGGAAATGCTCGGCTTTGGGGGCCTCTTGAACCGTCACGGTGTCTACCTTACACCAAGATGCTGTGGTGTTGTCAGCCTCGTCCAATTGTCGGGCCAGACTCGCCGAAAACACAGATTCGCTAGAATCTCTTTGAATGTCATCTACAGATTAGGTGCGTCATGACAATGGCTCCTGCTTGGATCCTCCGGTCCTCAACCATCAAGCTATGAGATATGGTCCTATGGCGGCGCGATGTTGCGTGGAACGGCCTGCGATGTGTTGCCCGCAAAACCGCCCCCAACTACCCAGAGTCATGTCAGCAATGGCGATGGAGGTGATGCTCCATTACCAGACATAGACGAAGACCGAGCCACCAATATTATTGGTCCAATACTCCGACCACATGCTCAAAGCGGAATTGTTCTGCGAGCCAACCACATAGTCACAGGGGTGGACGAGATGCCGTCGAGTCAGCATGGCAGCCTTGAAATTCCCTTCAAAGGACAGTCCGCATCTACTGTTCTGCAAGACCGGAAGGCAGTCGGAAATGTGTATTAAGAGGGCCTCCCTCCCCGTCAAACCATGACCTGGCCTCAACAGGTCGCAACTCAGCATCGACTCGCACCTCCCAGTCCAAGCATATACAGCATCCATCCGCTATCAACCCTTTCTCAGCAAATCGCTTCGAACGCTTCACAATGAAGAACTCCAACCCTCCCCTCGCCTTGGCCGCCGTGGCCAGCATCTTAACCCTCACCAGCGGCGCGCCCACCACCGCCGAGTCCGGCGTCGTGACCTTCAGCAGCAGCGGCAACCTCACGGCCCGCGCCATCAGCGAATGCGGCGACTCGACCTTTATCAACCAGAGCTCGGCGCCTCGCCTAAGGTGGACGACTGCTGGCGTCTGCACGACAACATCGCGGGCGACGGGACCTGGACCGTGTCCGGGTGGGTGCAGCGCACGCTGGCCACCTACGGCACGTGCGCGGTCGGCGTGCAGTCGGGCACACTCGAGTTGTTTAAGGTGGGCAACGGGGACATCCGCGCCCTCATGCGGGACTCTATTCAGAAGTTTGGGGGCGCCGGCGTGGTGGGCGCGGCGGGGAGGATGGAGTGTCAGGTTGTCGGGGTTGGAACCACGACCGTCTACTGGGGGATCTATCACACCTAGAGCAAGGTACTTACCCCTCACCTCTTACAAGAGGTGCCGAAGGATAAGAGATAATGGGGTGTGGTGCTTTGTTTCTCCAGTTGTTGCCTAGCCTCGAGCATCCACTCGTTGAAATCATGACCAGAGGGATTCGAACAGGATAGTTATTCTTTTAGTGCCCCACATCTCATTTCAAGGGCTGTGAGGAATTACAAAGGTGTGAAATCTTGCATCACATGAATACTCCCTGACTCCAGTCTTTGGCGTTGGGCTTCGCAACCTACAAAGATCGTCCCACAACCACATGACTCTCTCAGTAACTACACTTGTCAAACCTCTGTGGCACAGGCAGAACCTCGAAACACCTCCCCTTATAGCATGAACTCACCCCCATCCTCTTAGCCTCAACATTTTCTATTCACTTATTTATATGACTCGCTTAACAATATAAGTTATATATATATAACGTTATAACAATTTAATTATGAGCTCTCTAGCTAGTTACTAGTATTGTAAGCAGGCTCTAGAAGTGAAAATGGCTATACTATATCCCTAGGAGCCATAATATTGCCGGCAGCCTAGAAGCTTATAAGGTCCCGAAAACTTTTAATTAGTCGGAGCACCTCTGACACCAACATGCCTTTCTTGATGAAAGTTTCAAGGCGCCGGCAATGTAATGAGGTGACCGCAATAGGGAATAATTAGCCGGAGATTCCATCCGTAGGTCTTGATTAAAGGCTGTGAGAACCGCCAAACCCTAATGATCGCCTCGCCGATAGGGGTCGGAGTTTATGCCCAAGTCGGAAGGGGTGGCCAAAAGTGTGTCCAGCGAAATTAGGTGGCTTCTTGGGTCTCGAGGAGTCGAGGAAACAACAACCCAGCGTTGTAAAGCTGAGCCTGGAAATTGCGCGAGGGAACCCTGAGCGATGGGTGCCCCCACGTGTGAAAGGAGCACCTGCCGGGAAACCCTGCCAGCGTGCCAATCAGCTTCCCGTCGTCTTCATCAAACCTTTCCCCGCGGAACCCAAACGACCGGTCGGTGTCCCGGCACCTTGTCAAATCTAAGGTACTAGGCGCGGCCCGGGCATGTTCCAGCCGCTTGTTTGATTCTTGGTCTCAAGCTTAGATCTTGGTGATGAACCCTGCCGATGGCATGGCGACCCGGCTCTCCGGCGCCGATGCACTACCTTTTCTTTTTCTGAGGCTTTTCTCAGTTCTTAAAACGCCTCGCGCAGATGACAACGCCTGCCGAGCATTCGATCCGTAACAGTTTGCCTGTTTCGACGACGCGGCCCACGCCTCCTCTATCTCACGGCTGCCTCCGCATGGGATGGTTTCTCGAGCAGTGGGGTGTGGAGAATTGGCGTGGGGGTTCCGCGGCTTGGGCACGCCTGGGCGGTTTGGGGAAGACGCCTCGCTCGAACTTTTCTTCCTTTTGGCCAGTTCGGCTTACGGAACCATTGAACTCTACTCTGAAACCCTCGTGCCAATTGAGGAGCCTCCTTTAGCAGTCCCGAAATGTCCTTCTCTTGCGGCCGAGAGGCGCGTCCCGCGACCTGAGCAGTCAATTTTTCCACCAAGGCTGCCCACTGGGAATGTCTCCGCATGAGGCCCGACTTCCCCGAAGCCGGCACGGCAGTTCAGACATCCAAGCCAAGTGAAGATCGGACCATGGAACCCCAACAAGACCCGCAGCTCCAGACCCGTCCTGCTGGTCCGGGACCGTACAAGCGCGCGAGCCGCAAGGGAGCACCGCGCCGCTTCGCCTGCGAATATCCAGGCTGCGACAAGATTTATTCGAGGGCCGAGCATCTCCAAAGACATCAGCTAAACCGTACGATGGTCCGCCTTCGCTGACATGCACCGCTTCAAAGCTGATCGCGTCCAGATGCGCCCAAGGAAATCTACCGCTGCGACGTCGCCGGTGTATGGTCCCCCAAACACACCCCTTCCGGACCTCATTCCCGTCCGCGCCAGTCCTAGCACCTGACAGGATCGAAGCGTGCTGACGCTACGGAGCAGTGTGAACAGAAGTTCGTCCGGGCCGACCTCTTAGCCCGTCACAGAAAGCGGCATTCTTCTTCATACGTCCCCAGAAACCGGATGCCAAGTTTCGGAGCCCCATCCGAGCCGTCGCCGCCGTCCACAGCAATATCCCCAACCACAGGAACCGCAGCCCGGCCAGCCCTCGCCCGAGTTCCGCACGACGCCGCCATTCTCCTCGGTCCTGACACCAGTACACAGACGCCTCCGTCTCTCCCCAACCCCGGCCCTCCGCGCAGGATGTCCCACCACGCCGGATGGCATCCCCAACTGCCCGACATGGGGGCCTGCAATATCATTCGGCCCAAGCCTGGCTACTATCCCCAGGAGGAGCAACGAGTGCCGGAGCAGCCCACCCCAGTGAACTATCACACGGCTGAGTTTCAGACGGATGATATGTCCCGCGACAACTTTGCCGTCTGGCTGTTCAACCCCCATGCGCCCTATGGCGATTTTAACATGTCTCACATGCCTTTTATCGACGGGGGCCTGGAGTCGGCCCTGAACAACAACATCCATTACGACTATGAGTCGCTAACGAGCGGCCGATCTCAACTCGAGACGCCCACCCGATTTGTCGAAACCGACGAGCTCATATCCGAATTTCGGCGCCAAGAGATACTCCGCTGGTTCCAGATGTTTCGCCAGAAACATCCCAAGGCGGAACCCTTCGTTGCAAACCTCGTCCACGACGGTAGTGGAGACTACCCGGCCTTGAGCCTCGAAATGATGCGTGACTGTCTGCAGGAATACTGGGATCGCGTGTCTCCCCGGCTTCCCATCGTGCACCAGCCGACTTTCTCATGCAACCGCTGCTCCGTCTTTCTTTTGATGGTCATGGTTGCCTTGGGTGCTGTTTCGCTGCGCATTCGAGATTCGACCGGCAACCTAGCCGACTATGGCGGCTTTGCCGACATGATCATATTGGGCGCCAGATCGGAAATTCTAACCGCCGAGGAAGCACAGCCCCCCGTGTCTCTCTGGGTATCTCAGGCCCTCCTGTTGCTCGAGTTTTATGAGAAGATGTATTCATCTCGGCGGCTCCACGAACGAGCCCACATCTATCACTCGGTCGCGCTGACGCTTCTCCGACGGGGTAATCCCCTCATCGGCCGCTCCGGTAGCGAGTCCCCTCCTGAAGTGCCGTCAGCCGAGCATCCACAGGGTGTCGGATTGGATTCTCACACCTGGTGGTGCCGGTGGGCCGAGACCGAAGCGATGCACCGTGTTGTGTTTGCCGCCTTCATGCTGGACATAATCCACGCCGCCATGTTTGGGCACACCGCTGATATGGCTCCTCACGAGATCCGATTACCGCTTCCATGCGACGACAACATGTGGACGGCGTCCAACCCGGACACGGTGCGACAGCTCGACCAGAACCTTCGCATGTATGGCATCAGACCAATATCCTTCCTCGATGGGCTGAAGCGTGCACTGCATGGAAAAGAAGTCAAGACGCACTCGTTCGGCCGCATGATTATCATGTCTGGCCTCCTGAGCGTCGGCTGGCATCTCAGCCACAGGGAGACACATCTCAAGTGGCTGGATGTTACAGCGCCGTCCAAGGAAACCCACGATGTCTGGAAAAAGATACTCCTGAGCGCGTTCGATGACTGGAAGCGAAGCTTCGATGCTGCTCAAGCCGGCGCAGGAAACACCGCCCTCGCCGACGCACCGGGGTCGAACGGTCCCGTCCACAGCGCAGCCGTTCTTTACCACTTGGCGCAAATCAGTTTGCACGTCGATATTGTCGACTGCCAGGTTTATGCCGGGGCGAAGCGGCTGCTAGGGAGGAAGGTGTCGGTGAGAGACTACACCAACGTTGTCGCCCGAATGAGGAATTGGGCCTCATTACCCTCCACCCGCCATGCCATCCTGCACGCTTTCAAACTCCTCTACCGGGTGCTGGTTGACCCGAGACGTAGCGCAAGCGCGGGCGACCGCGAGCGGTTGGATATTGGGCCAGGTGTTGTCAGCTTGCCGCCGATCGAAATCCAAACCTACTCCTGCCGTAACGAACCTGACCCGCACCGACCCTGGGTCATGTACTACGCAGCTCTTAGCATATGGTCCTATGTACGCGCCATCAGTCGTCAGGACTCGCTTCAGGAACCTACCACCCTCACGGTTTCTCCCTTTCAGCCGGGCAACATGAAGCCTCTGCCCGTGAATTACGGGCGGGTGGCAGCCTATTTATCCAACAATGCGAACCTCCCTGAGTTAACGGAAAGTGCGGCGATGAGCCTGGGGGATGGCCTGCCGGACATGCTGGATGCCCTGCGCGCTGCTTTTGCCGAGGCGCATTCGGAGCTGCTTCAGGAAGCCCATGAGCGGCTGAGAGTATGCAAAGAGATGCACACCAATCCCACTGGGTGAGCCAGCTTTCAGTTGCTATTGATATCCTAGCGCCGAGGCATGGTTGAGGGCTGGGCTGGGATGACAACCTGGTCCCCGGGTGCTGGCTCGCCGTTCCCGTATGGGAGCTGTCAAGCAGGTAGCACTTGCTGACAGGCGTTCACAAGGGGAGGGGAAAAGAGAACATGCTAAACGGCTGTAAGTTGTCCTATTGGGCTTTGTGCCTGGCCCGGCTCCTTGCAAAGAGATGGCCGCCAGTTAATCTAGGCTAATGCAGAGTACAGATCATTTGCCTTCTATATATTACCAACGTCTCCATCATACTCCAAACCGCCACCGTCTGCCCACGCACCATCCGGCCAGATCCCAACTCACAACTTGAAATATCCTCTCCATAACTTACGAAACTTTCCCTCCGGATCGTACCGTTTCGCCACATGTCTCAGTCTTGCCAAGTTCTCCCTCCCATATCCTGCATACACGTCCTGGGTGTCAGCGGCATAATTCATGTATATGTACCCGTTCTTGGACCGCGCCCCCCTCGACGCCGCGAGCGCGTTGACCTTGTCAATGAGTTCCTTTGAACTGGTCTCGACGACTTCGTCTAACGCAGGGTTGCTCCACGTCAACGACAGCTGCACGATCATGACCGGCCCATCCTCCGGCTTCAATCCGAGCGCGTTCCCCCCGTTTACCTGCATGGCCTCCAGGATGTTGGACGAGATGCCCTGGTAGACAAGGTAGGGCTCTACGGTCGAGTTCACTGCAGCGGCCGCTGCCGTCAGGAGTGCCACTTGCTCCTCCCACAGCGGGACAATGTCCAGCAGCAAGTCGGGGGTCGCGGTGGCCGCAAGGCTCGTGTCCCAGTAAGCCTGGCGCATGCCGAACGGCTGCTCAATGTCGCGCAACAGCCGGGAGACGTTGGCCAGGCGGGTGTTGGTGAGCAGGGTGGGCAACGCTGCATCGTGAAAGGCGGCGAAGACGTCCGGGGGGGAGGTGGTGTTTGAGTACGTGGCGTGGTACTGGTCATTCATCACGAGATAACCGCCGAGCTGGGGGTAATAGGTCATGACGAAATACGTGTGTGCCTCTGGGTCGGACGGCAGCCCATTCACCAGCAAGTCGTGCATTAGCGGAATCAGCGTCCGGTTCAACGCGCCGGGCCAGATGCGCGAGTTGGCCCACAACTCGCCCTGGTCAAAAGACGCCAGATCGAACCTCGTCACGATTCCGAAGTTTGAGCCGCCTCCACCGCGCAGTGCCCAGTACAGATTCCTGTTTACGCGCGGTGAGGCGTTCACGATCTCCCCCGAGGCGAGAACTACCTCATAGTTCCGGACATTGTCGCACGCCCAGCCCCTGCTGCCGGAGAAGTAGGAGATGCCGCCACCGAGAATCAGCCCGCTGACGCCAACGGTGGCAGAACGCCCGCCGACGACGGCTAGACCGAGGGGGTCGAGCGCTTCCGAGACGTTGATCCACCTGGCGCCGGCCCCAACAGACACGGTCTTGCGGTCTAGGGCGACGGAGATGGCGTTGAGGTTGGCCAGGTCGAGGGTTACGCCCTGAGCGATGTTGGAGGCGCCTTCGAACGGCGTGTGACCGCCTGCTTTGACGGCGAAGGGGATGTTTTGGCGGGTGAGGATCTTGATTGCTTTGGCGACGTCTTGGGCCGTGTTGGGTGCTACAAAGCAGGAAGGGCGGGCTTCGGATTGGCGGGCGGACCAGTAGATGTTGTGGCTGGAGTACGGGGATGAGTTGGGGAAGCTGATGAGGTTGGGGAGAGCGGATGCGATGGCCGCGCACTGAGGAAAGTCAACTACAACGAGATTGTCCAAGTTGGGAGCATTTGATTGGGGTGTTGGCTTACGGCCTTTGAAGAGTCATGGTCGCTAGTTGCAGCGCCTGATAGTGCCAATGCGAGCAGTACGGGCCCTGTTAGTTGGGTCATTTTGGATTGCAGTTGACTGCTGTCTATTTGCGTTGAACTGGTGGTTGTAGTGCCACATGTAAAGGACGGGTTGCTTTCGCGATTGTAGCGGGATTTGAGGTTAAGAAGGTTTAGTCTCAATTGTTATGTTCTTTTCCCGGCCAATTCTCTGCCGGATACACCGGATGCCGATGTCGATCAAAGAAAGGCCTGGCCCCTCAAGTGCCCTGACCCGGATATCAATTCTGTAAAGTCCGAGGAGACCAACTTGACAGGACGGATCAGATCACTGTATGCAAAGATCATCACGCACATGCATGCAGCCTGCCGAGCTGGGCACGCTCAAGAGAGCATTATTTGTGGGGGAAGGGGAGGGGCTGACGCCTTCTTGTTCTCGACATAGGCTCGATCTAGAAGGTATATACATTAGTTACTCCTCATATCTGTTATTCCCTTTAGCTATATAATCGTAAAACTCTGTAGAGTGTACAAGTACGTGCACAGGACTCGGGCAGCCTGGCATGCAAACGAAATATCCATCCCGCTTCCGCGATGGGACGCTGGGTCTTGCGAACTAGCAAGGAGAGCGTACGTGTTGTGGCTGGGGCAGTGGGTGGCCCGCAATTAGCGCTGACGGGCTGGCTGCGGGCTGGAGTGTGATGCTAACCGATCGCCCGTGCATCGTACCACCCTCTCCAGGTCGGTGAGACCAGGATGATTTATAGCGGACAGGCGCGGAAGCAAGGCAGCCTACCTTATGGGGTTGCAACCGAAGATGCAAGCCAAGGCTGATATCATGTACCATGTCATTAGTCCTGGGCTGTTCAGGAGCCTGCTTCATGAGACTGGAACTGCCGCAACTGCTTTGACAGGTCCAGCTTGTGTCTTTGTTGGTGAGTGTCTACGAGGGTAAGGTAGTCCCAATTCTGCTCAGGATCAATGTGAGTCGCTGTGTCCTTCCGACAATCCACCCAGATACTCAAAGCCTGCATGAGTACATCCCACACCTCTGTTCCATAATCACAAGACTGCAAGTACCTACCCCTTCTCTGCTCGAACGTTCCATATCCAAGGACAGTGCTGTAGTACCCTTCCACGCCCCTCCCTCCCCTATTACTGAGCATCCTTGCCATGTCCCGGTTCCTCTGTTGAGTCTGCTCCCTGAGATGCTCACCAATGCCCTGATACCTCTCCAGCGTCGCCCTGCTCACCCGCCCGTTGAGATAACCCAAAAGCAGGCCCAACCAAACCATCGCCTCCGCACTGTCGGGCTCGTAAAGAAAAGTCTGCACCATGCCCCACCACACCCGGCCGTGCTCGGCGTGCCTAATGTAGTCTCGCGACGCCCTACTCAGCATCCACTTCCACTCGCCGTCGTCCTTGCTGCACCCGTGCGTAATGCGCGCGTACTGGAACCACTCCGGCCAGTACCCGCCGCTCTTCCAGTCGATAATTCCCGTGATGACGCCGCGCTTCGGATCCACCATGACGTTCCCCACGAACAGGTCACAGTGCGTGAGCACCATCTGCCCCCAGCAGGGGGCCATGGTCCGGCGAATCCTGCGGATCGTCTCGCGGCTCAGACCGGCACGACGAAGGGAGGGGTAAAACTCGTTGTTGAAGATGTCGTCGTCCGTGGACCAGCGCCCGGACAGGTAGCCGCGCGAGTCCCGGGGCCGCGGGTTGAAGCAGTTGTTGGGGAGGCGCTTGCCCGACACGGTCTCCATGCGCCAGTTGGTGAAGCGCGAGAGCTGCAGCATATAGTTGACAATCTCCTGAGCGATGTCGAGCTTGGCTCCTAATGAGAGCTCTTGCCAGCAGTCAGCCAGAGTGTAACCCGGGACGCGGCCCTCGAGGATGTTGTGATGTCGCCGGTTGGGCGAGAGCTACTCCCCGTAGACCCTAGGCACGGGGATAGTGGTGTTTTCGGCGATGAAGTCGTGCGTAGCTGCTTCGCTGTTGTAAACCGTGTTGCCGGTGGTCTTCAGGATATATCGGTTGCCGACTTTCTCGATGACACGGTCGGTGTGGAGGTATATCTCCTTGCGATTTCGGTCACTGAGGTCGATGCCCAGCGGCGGCGTAGTGAGGAGGCCACACCTGGTTGAAGAAATCGGCATGTTGGGTCTTCTTCCATGTGTGGGTGCTCAGAAGTTGTTTCAGGTGTAAGTTGATCTGGTCTTGATGCAGATACAGTCTCGGCTGAGTTGCGAGTGTCTAGATAGGAATTTTGAGACATCAAGCTCGCGTCAAATACATGTAGCGACCATCTTCGAAACTGTGTGCTCTAATGGATACAGGTGGAATACGCGGCCGTGTTCTATCACGGCTCCTTTGTGTCTTGGCTAATCCGGACTCACAGCTCTCAAGACGCAAGAAGAAACTGTGCACAACAATGAACAAGCGCATTGTAGTCCTAGTTGGCTAGAATTTAACTAGAGGATCAGTCAGATACAGCCACAGATACAGTGTTAGCACTGAAGAGAAAAACATGCAAACCGAGAGCTGGAGTTTGACTTCAAGATATGGCTTATGCTGCAAGTGGTGACTGACTGCATGCTCAATCCTACACCCCCATGACGCATGGTTCGGGGAGACATGGGCGAAAGGAAACCTGGACTCGGAGGTATCAATTGCGACTTCTGCCACGAGAATCCTGAAAAGTCGGGTTTGTCGTCGGATGCCGGTTCCGCATGATTTTGGTTGGCTCGCGGTAGTGGAAAGCTGAACGACAGGGAAATGGATGGCAAGATTGGATGCTGTCTGTGGACTGCCCGGCGGCGAGGCGACATGTAGGATGTCATGATTGATTTGTGGAAAAAACTGCTGCTCTTGTCTCAGGGGCGGACGCCAGTGGTTGTGTTTGAGGTGACTTGGTGAAGAGGGTATCTAAAGTGCTGAAGAGGTTAAGCAGCTCAATGCGAGAGGAATTAGCCAGCTTATAGGTAGCCAGACTTTCATGCCTCTGGTTTGACATCGGTTTGCTCTGGAGAATTCGGGGTAGCCGGGCTGCATCCAAGCGCCAGTGCCTAGTTCTTGTTACAAGGGTCTCTTTCAACTCTTTGTCCTAACCGCAGCCGGTATTCGTAACACTGTCTCGCATTTCTCTGAATGTATCTTGCCGCGGTTGTGTCAGGCCCTTCCTGCCCTGTTCCAGTCAAAGATACAATCGAGTTCAGGCTGACACAATTCGGTTAAGGTACCTACGAAGCTATAGTGACAAAGATGCTGAAGTGTGGAGTTCCGTTGAGGTATTTCTACAATAGTTCTTCACGGGGTCTAAGCTTATAATCTAACCCTAGTTTGTTTGTTAGCACGAAACTTGAGTATTACACCTCATCATCTTTCACTTTGATCTTCTTATATTCTTCCTTTCCTTTTCTTTCTTTCTTTCTTCTTCCTCTTTGTCTTTTTCCTTCCTCTTCTCTTACTTTCTGTCTTTACGTTCTATTATCTTCCTCTCTTCCTTCCTTTTCTTGATTTTGTTTCTCCTTATGTCTAGTGCCCATGTGCCAGGCTAACGAACAAACCAGGGCTGGATTGTACGGCTTTCTTCAGGCGAAGAATGGACAGTCTGTTTGTCGTTTCTGATTGACTTGGCGAGATTCAGCCAGCGTTCCGAATGAATCAAATCAAACCAAATCAGACTCAGATTTGATTTGATTTGAGCGGACAGGGGTTAATTTGATTTGGTTTGAGTTTGATTTGAATACAGTCAAATCTATTCAAACTGTTAGAACACAAGTGGCGCCTTGCCATCGCGATTTCCAGTCAAGCAACCTCCCTGCTTCAAAACACCCGTTTTGACAGCCAATACTTCAAACAAACGAGCTGCTCAATTGTCTGGTCCATCAATCGACACCTTTGTGTCGATATCGTCAACTTCGATTGGCTGAATACTCTCTCAACCTCACAAGAAGTGGCCGGT